CACTAGGTCCCCTCCCTCACCCACTCTTTCTCGTTTCAGTCTAGGGCTTTACATATAACTAGACGAACCTTACGGTTGTACGGCAGTGAAGCATCAGTGCCAACACTGATGTTGCTGTCTTTGATGATGATGATGATGATGAGCACACCAGAATTGGCGAGCACAAGAGTGGGTAAGCAAACCACCAAGAAATGCGGAAAAGCGCTGGTCAAAGACTCGGCGATGGTGGGACATGAGTCAGACACAGGACATAGGATAAATCTGGAGGGTGTAGATGTCTTAAGACGGGGATTGCGATTCACACCACAGCAAATGATGATTGAAGCGGTGGAAATCACCAAACAACACGGTGTGAATAGAATCGAGCGTGGGGAACTGGCAAGCATATGAACAACGGTCTTAGATGAGCCGAGTTAACGCGTGACAGCCTGTGGTTGTCTGCATATGTGGAGCCACTAAAAAACCAAAGTTCACAGAATTCCTTACACAACTATCGTAGCACTAGTTCATCCACTCAGACGGACAAAAAGTGTAAACGAGGTTCAAGAGTGATGTTCACGTGAAGCAAACCAGAAGAACTAGACCCTAAGCTGAACCCAAATCCATCTAGGTTCCCCATTGGTCGTCACTCAGCCGACACCTAACACCAGTTCATTCTGACCTAGTTGATTGGTTCTCCTTCCGCTCTAAATCTCGACCAACCTCGTAACCTAGTGTCACTTGGTCTAACAAAGCTTCCGTGTCGGAGGCGAAACCTTGCCCCCTAATAAATCTGCCGGTTGTTTCCCAAACTTTTTCGAAAGTGCTGAATGCAGTTTCACGGAAGAAGGACGTGATAGTATTCGTAGGCTCGGTGGAAACTCTGCTTCAGACCGGTCTCATCCTTCTAGGGGCTCATCTTGTAGGAGCCTGATTTCCGACTTTTCGTTAATTCTACATCGTTCTGTAGTTCTCTGACGTCTTCCCCATCCAGTTTGGAAAAGTGGCTTGATGTTCCAACTGGAAGCTAAACAAATCGATTGATGTTTTTCAGCTAGCGAGTCATTGAATCCTCTTGTTTGACTGTTGCTGGCCTGCCGTCCAAAAAATCGTCCAACGCTACTCAAATGTCTGTTCACATCGGAAAGATGAAGATACGAGTTTTTCACATTCTTATGGTGATCTGAGTCGATTTGGTAGTTTTTAATAGAGATGCTGACGTGTCAGTGAAGTCAGGCTATGCTGAAAAGCAGGCCGCTTCATTCTTATTCGGAATCACTAACACTGCACCGGTCAGGAAACCCAAAGAGTTTCGAACGCGCAACCTTCTGGCCATTGGTCAAACACCCGCTTAACCGTTTGGCCCCGATGAGTGAAACTTCCATCTGAAGAGTCATCACTCGAGGAGTCAGCCAACCACATGATGTGGGCCAAGTGAACGAGCAGCGCCGAGATTGGCCACTCGTGACCAAACGGTTAAGCATTCAAACTACTGGCTGAAGGGGGTCGCAGGTTCGGGACTCCCCACTGGGGTTTCGTGAGATGCTCACTGCTGATGATTCCCGATGAGGATGAACCAGATGTGCAGGGCTTCTTGGTTCCGCTTACACAGCGAAGTCTCCGATTAAAATTCCCAAATCTCCCCCAACTACCAACAAACCTATTGTTTTTTTCCACATTTCACACATAGTAAGTTGTCTTGCAAGTTTCGTCACAACTTCGTTGGTTTCAGGGAGTCGTTTGAATGAATTGTACTGCAAGTAACACGTTGAAGGCCTTCGCGATCCCCGAGGATTATGGATGCAACTCCATAATTGTTTCTGCTTTGAATTTATCCCTCGATTCAGCCAGTGGAAAATCAACAGTGAAGTATATTCTAGAATATCAACCAGCCTGCTCAAAAAAGTGCATGACGCATGAATAAATTCATCAAATACTACAGCAACTGTAGTCAGAGACGATGATGTGTTTGACGGTTTGTGGTAACCACTACCACAGTGCTGCCTGCCAAAGGAGAACTATCGAAAGAAAAGTTTCTTCCTTGAGGAGAGTGAAATTTTACGGTCAGTAGCGTTATCGGGGATAAGATGTTCCAATGATGCTGACCCAAACAGCACACTACATACTCACAAAAGTATTCGCAACCAGGGTACCAAGATTACTGAGAAAGGTCAAAAGTTCACTTGAGTGTCACACGTTCGAAGAATTCTGTCAGTGTCAATCATTTCAATGTGCCCATTTTTGAAGTTTATGGAGTCTTACTACCGTGGTACCACCCTCAAAAGGGGCGAGATGGTTCAAGTAGTTAGAGCGCAAATTTACTGACCAGAAGGTCCGTGGTTCGAACCCGACCTCTGCCTCTCGACTTCCCCTGTCTATACTTGGACAACCTGGCAGTATCCCAGCCCTCGTGTTTCCTTTGGGTGGCATGACAGCTAGGCACAGAAAGGGTGCTACATCTGAGCGATTCTCTTTTCTAATACGCTCAAGTCAATGAGGGTGATAGAAGCACGTTTCCGTGCACTTTGGTGTATGTCAAAGCTAGTGATCAGTTCACTCGAGACCCTATACAATAGAACGGGGTTCACAATTACTCCCTACCGTAACTCTAAAAAAATCGTCCAGCTGTAACACCTTTTCGGTGCCTAGCGGCCATGTCACCCGAAGGTTGCACGATGCCTGGAATACTGCCAGGTTGCCCAAGCCTAGACAGGGGAATTCGAGAGGATTGTGAATCGACTGTGAGCCGTCAAAAGATAACCGGTGATGCTTGATTCAAAAGATGACTTCAAATGTTCTAGTCAGCCCTCATCCTTTTGCGAACAATTCGTGAGCAGAGTATGAGAAACACTTTGTAAAAAAACGTTTTCAATTATACGATTTACAGCAGTTATGCTTGTTTTGGACCGGCGCGCAGTGTTTGGAAACTGGGAGGTGACCTACATGTTACAATGAAGCCGGATGTTTTGGCGTGGCTAAGCGACAAATACCGCTTATATTGACGAAACACACTACTCGTAAGGTCGGTGAATACATTTCGGCAATCTACGTTCGGTTTCGCCCTTCTTGGGTGGGCGTCAACGTTATGGTCTACTTGAAACGAAATTGTAAGAAATTCGCGGACTACACTCATTTTCGCACTAATTTGGTTTTGATGAGAGATTCACGTGAATCCCAGCTGAATTTCTCGTTTATGATTTTTGAGGTTCATGATACGAAACTTTCAGTGACGCGTAGGTTCGACAATCCCCACTATCAAAGGAAGAATTGGGTTCGTTATTCAACAGTACTATTTACACAAGGGTAAGCAAATGTGTCCAACAAACCTCGATCTTCCACGTTCGTAGCGTCACCAAGTTCACAGATCTTTCACTGACCGGCACAGTGCAGTGTCAACGTCCGCACACCAAACAACGGTGAGCGGAATGATGGCTCAGTAGCGTGGGTTGCGGTCGTCCCTTCCGACGACGGTCTCGTGATTCTCATTGGACGTGCAATCACACGGATCCCATGAAAAAACAAGTCAAGGCAGACTCAGCAAACGGGACGTGAGCGCACATTCACACACAGACACACATGCCAATACACAAGTGTCGGAAATGACCGCCTCTGCGGCAAGGTGAGTGGCGCATACGAATAAGCAAAACAACTGGGGGTCAAAAGTACATAGGCGGAGTAAGCAAATGAATCATGAGGTCAAGTTAGATTCAACAATGATATCCTTCGACTGAATGCGATTCAACCGCAAGCTGATGCGGTAGATTAAATTGATAAATTGATAAATTGATCATAAACGAGGATCGCGACCTGTCAGAAAACGGGAAAGTCTTTCATGAAACTCAGTTATCACACACACACACACACACGTACGCGCTATCGCGAGTTTCGTAGATGACGTGCGCACGGGTCGTGCTTCGATTTATGGTATTTTGGGGCAGTGTATGGGCGAATCCCTAAACAACGACCTATCACGTGTCTTATTCTTTCATATCCACGGTCGTTAACATGTTCTCTAAGCAGAATGCTCGTTCAACCTAGTGAGATGTTTGATCACTGTGGGAAACTCTTTCTGGATTTACCAGTCAAATACAACTTTCTGGAATCTGATGAACCTTTTGTAGCCCTGCGTAAACTCTGGAGAATAGGACAAAAAGGTGGGAGGAATTAGCAGGCCTCATATCCACGGTCGTTAACATGTTCTCTAAGCAGAATGCTCGTTCAACCTAGTGAGATGTTTGATCACTGTGGGAAACTCTTTCTGGATTTACCAGTCAAATACAACTTTCTGGAATCTGATGAACCTTTTGTAGCCCTGCGTAAACTCTGGAGAATAGGACAAAAAGGTGGGGGGAATTAGCAGGCCTTAAAAAACCGCAAGCATTCCAAACTAAGGACTGATGATGGGGAGAGAAGCAACAGTTTGTTTAGCCCAATAGCACCTTCTCAGAGTGGACACGTTACATTCGACATCACTGGTGCTAACGCCAACCGGTCTGTGGTGACGTGGAATCAGCGTCTTTGTGCTTTGAGCTGGTGAGGACGTCGAACTGTGTACTGGCGGTCGTTCCGCAACTCGGTCTGAACCTTCCAAGTGAACGTTCTCGTCAAAAGAACCACTCAAGGTACACATTGTTTGTTGAACGCCCAAAACCAGGTAAAAAAAAGCACATGTACAGCGCGTTGTATTTAAAGTATGTGTACGGAGGCCAGCCGTCCCCAATAACCGAACATTACATCATTTGGACGGATGTGCCACGTGCAGGACACGGACCAAACGAAGGCATGCCCTGATTGATCAGAATGCCAGCCAATCCGAATCGAGCACCTTTGACTCGACGATTCTCGCCCCCTCACGGAGATTTTTTCACGGACTTGTGGAACACTCTGAGACTACCCTATAAATACAGTTGTAATAAATTTCCTTGGTCCCCATAAAGGGTTGTGTAGAGCTGCCGTGCCTTTTGATATACCGTAGTGGGCGGAGCAGGAAGCCAGGGGACCGATACAGAGTTGCACGATCGTCCACCAAGTTACAACAATATGTGGCGACAACATTCTTGCCATTGGCAATCAGCATTCGGCATATACTGAATCATGACTGGCTGTTGAACTCATACGTTCAGCCAATCAGAGGTGGCATGGATGCTGGACCGGTAATTGGCCCCCGGCCTTCTGGCCAACCGCGTGCGGATTGGACCTCTTGGCGGTCGCAGCATCTAATTGTAAGCGGCAAAGCGGTTTTGGTGCGGGTTTCCGCCCAACCAACTGTGAGTGTTGCATTGGTTAACGGTTCTTTGCCGCTCAGCCCGATTGGCTACGGTCGCGGATCAAGTTGTGAGGGTTTCACCAGTTTTCTAGCACTACTGGTCGCTGCGGATTTATTTATTATTAAATGCCAACTGACCGGTTACAGACCATTAAACAGGGAAGCAAAACTCTAATCTGCATCTTAGTTACAAAAACTGGACACCGATCTTCTCCCGAACGAGTCTTCTTGAACTTTCGTCGGTCAAATCCAAGCAAATGTCACAAAGTGGCTCCACGAATTCCGCAACAGATCTCCCTTTGTCAGTAGACGCAAAGCAAAATTCTACGAGCGACACATACTACTCGCGTGCCCCCCCCCGATCAGTAGTATCGCCGTTACACTGGTACAACATCTCGGTTGCAGCAATCGATCTGTCTTGGGCGGTACATACGAGGCAGTGGCTATAGGTGCTGGTCTTGGGAGATCAAAGGTTTCGAGCAGCAGGTTGAGATCTAGTAAATGCTCTTCTGCCTTTGAGGTCAGGAACTCAGTCGGCCGTAATTGATTGACTTGTCGTGACCTGGACGCTGTGAATCACCTGACCGATTCTTTTGTGGACGATTCCAACAGTCCATCTTCGGTGCCCGGGGCGATGGTCCCTGGCAAGCATTCCAACAGTCGGCCGGAATGTTGGCTTCCCTCCTGTCGGTGATTGAAAACAAGTACGTGTTGGTAGGATAGCGTCATGGGTAAGTCTCAACCGTCTGTTCATCATAACCTCTGCTGGAGAGAGACCGTCCGGAGACTGTGGATTAGGAGTTGCTCTATAATTCAGCAGGAACATATCCAGCACTTCTGCCGTGGTCCCCTCCCCTTCTGCTTTGGTCAACGCGCGTTTAAATGTTTCAACGAACCGTTCAGCTTGATCGTTGGATTGTAGATGGAATGGTGGGGGAGTAACATGTGTGATGTTCTGTCTTCGAACGGATTCGCCGAACTGATGGGATGTGAACTGAGTACCATTATCGGACACTATAGTTTCCGGGATACCGAATATTGAAAACAAATGCCGCAGTTTAGTGATGGTTGCCATCGTTGTTGTCTCAGACGTAATAAAGGCCACTTACTGGATGCATCGACAACGATGAGGAAGCTTCGTCCGTTAACTGGTCCGGCAAGATCCACATGGATGCGCGACCATGGTTTTTGTGGCTGTGACCAAGGCTGCGGCGACTGTCGGTTGGGTAACTTCTGGGCAGCAGCCTAACGGAAACAACTCCGACATAACTGCTCAATGTACTCATCCATATCGGGCCAGTAGACATAGCTGCGAGCAAGAGCCTTCATGCGGCTTGTCTCTGGATGTCCACTGTGGAACTGTGCTAGGATCCGTTGACGAAGTTCGGTGGGAATGACAATTCGGTCACCAAAGAGAAGACAGCCATTGACAACAGATAATGAACTCGGTCGCTGAAATAGTTTCCGGAGTTCCTCTAGTGGACTGGTTGTTGGCCAGCTTGATTGGTGGTACTCCATTGCCTTTTGTAATATGCTGTCATTTTTGGTGGCATCTCGGACCGCATCAAAAGTCACAGGTAGTTATTCATGGTCTCACAGCACGGACTTCCGGTTCGACGGCAACGGTTGCTATGACTGTTCAAGTTCACTTGCTTCTATGACTTTATTCGGTTGAGGGTTTCGATCCCCCATGGAAACAATGAATGCTACAAGGTGGCATAACGTAACCAGATTTATTTTTGTGGAAATAGATCTTTATCTCGTGTTCCTTTTGTATACTAGTCTCATTGCTGTTGACCCCGCCTCGTATGCTTCACATTCCTAGGTTTATTTATATGAGTTCGATGAAGAACTGGAACTGCGCTCAAAACCGGAACATGTCGTCCCGTACGCCGTCGTCAAATGCCAATGGGAATTGAACACGGAGACCGCATCGAAACTGGAGTCTCTAAATCCGGCAACAGGCTCCATTCTGGTCATTTCCCCCAAACCCGTCCGACAGTATCAGCCCTCTTCATCCCGTCCGGCTTTGCTGCCGACCCCATCCGTTTCACTTTTCTCCGGTCCGCGATCCCTATTGACTCCTGGAGATATTGGTCTACCCCATACAATTGCTCAAGCTTCTATTGGCAAAACCATAGAATCTTCTAACCTGGTTCAGCTGTCAGGCCGTGAGGGGAAAAGTTCGGTGAGTGTCATTCAGTGATGGCTACAAGTGAAGCGACAGTACTGTGCTGGAACTTCTATTTGTTTTCTTTTGTTGGTCAGATGTTTACAT